GTACCTCTGGCTCCGGTCTGCTCCACATCCCCCGCCCCAACCGCCCTACCATTGGTGGCCGGGCCTTCAGCCTCTCAGCCCCTAGGCTCTGGAACTCTATCCCCCAGTGCCTTCGCCTTGCTTCCTCCCTTTCCTCCTTCAAGGCCGGTCTCAAGACCTTTCTCTTTGACCGTGCCTTCAGCTCCCCTCTCGACTCTCTACCCCCTCCTCGCTCCCTCCCTTCCCTCCCCTCACCCTGACCATTTCCCTCCTACTCGGGTCCGGACCCAACTGTACAGCGCCTTGGGATGTCCTCCCGACGTGAAATGAGCTCTATAAATGGAATCTTGTTGTTGTTGTTGTTTGTGGCAGCTTATTGGTGTAAAAGGTTTCAAATAACAGTTGCTGCACTTTACTGCATTTAGCTCTGAAGTGTTTTGAGAAATTTCAACACAAGGTTCTATAAAAGTGCAGTTTGACTTCTGCAATGACTGATATCAACTAACTCACCACAGATCAATCGCTCAGTTTTGTTATCGAGTAGAGGTTTAGCCCAGTTCAACCCTTATGGTTTCTTTATATATAAAAAACACATGAAAGACAGATCCAACAGATAAGACAAATGTTGCAAAAGTAATTTCAACCTTTTTAATGTCAGTACATTTCATTATCCTCACCCGGGTCCACTGGCTCCCCATCTCTCAAAGGATTGAGTTCAAAATCATCGTCCTCACCTTCAAGGCCCTCCACGGCCTTGCCCCCTCCTACCTCTCCGACCTGCCAGTCACTTATCAACCTGTCTGCTCCCTCAACTGCAGATAGTGACCTGCTCCCAATCAGCAGTTGGGTCTTTAGCTTCTCTGCCCCCACCCCATTTCATACTCCCTTCACCTCACTCCCTCCTTTGCCTCCCTCAAGACATGCCTCAAGACCCTCCTCTTTGACTGTGCCTTTGGCCACCCTCTCCGCTCCCACCCTCCCTGATCCCAACCACTCACTCAGTCCTAATCCTTGACAGTTTAGCGCCTTGATCTGAAAGGAGCTTTAGAAATGTAAATTAGTATTGTATTAAACATTGCTTAAGTAAACATTTAAGCGGGATTGCACAATATTAATCCAGAAATTACAATAGCTAGGGAATGTGAAAATGCCAGTTAAGCAATTTTTCTTCAGATATGTGAGAGCCACTTACCTGGTTGGTAAAGGAATGCTGGTCAATCCAGCATTCGGTAATATAGACCAGACTGTTCCAGATTAGTTCATCTCAGCGGGGCAGCAGTTTCAGGTGCTACAATTGGCATCAGTGACCCTGAGTTAAGAAAAGGAAAATTAGTCAGGAATAATTATCCTGATTGCAACTAGAAAGTGTGCTTGCTGGGTGTGGAGAGGATCAGCTCAACTATTTGCTCCATTTCCTTCCCCCCCACCTGCCACAGTTGAATAGTCTGCAAACATTCACTGTCAACGTTTCACTTATGAAAAATAGTTATCAGAGGTACTTAGTAAAGCACTAGCTGTTAACGTGGCATCAATGAAACCGTACGCTAGCACAAAAAAAGGAAGTGAAATGCCTTCAGAAGAGAGAAAAAAAATTATATGGAAAAAAAGTTTTCATTTTTACGTATATTCTTTCAGTCTTTTACTGTGTCTGGCTTTCCTGTGTTTTGTGTAGAGCAATTTTAAAAGCTAAGATATTTTGGTGTGTCCAGTGTCGGATCGCATTTCCTAACTTTTTTTCAGCTTTAGATGGCTATAAGCAGTGTGATTGTTTATTCTATCTGTTCCTTACTCAGCCTGGAGGGAGCAGAATCTCAAGAGTTTTTTTTCCAGAGCAAATAGAATGAGGAAATAGAACATAAGGACTGACTGGGACCAGGCAGGCAGTGTTAGAGTGTAAAAAAAAAGGCACCAAACATAAATAGGTCCCTTGAGAGTCAGACAGGAAGCAAAGGAGGAGGGAGAGAGGGAGGAGAATAAATCCTGCTTAAAGTAAATAAGGCCAAAAATACAAAGGAGAGATGACATCTGTATGACGTAATGCTTTTATGTACTGCTCCATTGAATGATGGAATGTGGATTTGTATTACACAGCAAATGTCTTGACAATTAGAGGAGGCACAAAACAAAGGATGCCTCCACATGGAGACAGAGAAATCAATGGGTGAGTCAACCATGAATTTACAGCATGCTTCCCAGTGGCCAGAAAACGAAGAGCATTGGCAGAGGCCTGTGAGTCGCTCTGTTAGGGCATGTTGGGTGATGAAGGGATTATTTCAGAAGCATGAATATTCATTAATTGATATTCAATGGTAATTTTTTGAAATGCAAAAGCAAATTCTTGTATATGCAAATCAATTAAGAGCCTAAAATAGCTGCTAACTTCACAAAGAGGGTGATGCAATGGATCTGAGTGCATGCAGAACGGCTCTGGGTTAAAAGCTGACCACTAGGATGCCATCAGCAACACCTTGGGAGAGCTTGCTGCAAATTTATTCTTATTCCAGTTTGTGTTTAATCTCCTTTCAGGTGAACGCATACTTCTACTTTTTTTAGAAAAGTAGAAGTGGAAACTGGAATATCAGCCTAGAGGTTTGATCTGTCTTTTATTAGTTGTAGTACAGCAATAGTATTATTCCAACCCCCTCAGCTCCGATTCCCAGATAAAATGTTTAAGCACTTTAGGACATCCTCCTGAGATGAGACTTTTTTATATTAAGTGTAAAATATGGTATTGTGTAACTCTTTCCTACTAAAAATCGTATGAACTCCAACTGGGATTTCTATGTTTCCCCTTTCTGTTTTCTCTTCTCCCCATTACAAAACATGGTCTAATTCTCCGGTAAAGTAACGACTTGCTCCCAGGTCTCTGCCAATATCACTCCAGAACCAGTTGTTCCAGCACATCCCAGGATTAGCTGCTCTTGGATTCTCTTGCCTGCCCTCTGTTCAGTGGCTCCCCCTGATGGCATGACTGAGATAAATACTTTGGCACTTGGGAGAATTTTGGTCACGAGGCCATGGCCCAAGGAAACTATATTACCTATAGTTAAAAACTACTAAATAGTGGCAGAATCTGACTCCAAACCAAAGGGAGAGGGAGGAAGGTGATAATAAGCTTGATCAATAAGGAAGATCTTTAGGGGGGATTTGAAGGTGGGGAGGGAGGGAGCAAGGCGGGAGGATTGAGGGAGAGTTTCGGGGGGTAGTAGCTGAAGGCACGACCCCAATGGTGGAGCAGAGGGCCCGAGGGACGAACAGGAGGCTGGAACCAACCGAGCGGAAGCAGCGTGTTCATCCCTCTGAAACTGAGGATCAGCCTGTTTGCACGTCTCTCGGGCCAGGTGCCTTGTTTCTGTCGTGGTACCCAACACTGATGTTAGTATGTGAAGGATACTCTTATGTGGTACATTTCTGCCTTTGGAAGTCTAGTTATGACTTTCTATCCTCACCTCTTCAAAAAGTTTCAGGCAAGACCAATTTTGACTTTTATTTTCACAAAAAAGTTGCTTCTGCTTATTGGCTCCATTAGGATTGAGATTGGTGTTCACCGACTCTTTCAAGATGAGCGCTAGTTATTTACAAATCTCCTCCATTGTCTTTCTAAGTCCTCTGGTGGTTTCCATCAGGGGATTTGACTAGTTTTCAGCTGCTTGACTCTAACAAGAACCTCTGCCTTCAAATGTCAAAGTTTTGCAGGTCGCGTGATGTAATCAGTTAGTACATTTTATTATCTCCTATTCATTGTCTTTTTTTCAATTGCATTCTCTCTGTTATAATATTGGACACACTTTTTTCTGTTATGTTTTCCATCTGCTGTTATGTCGTTTCTAGTTCTCTCTTGGCTCTCTTCATCTCTTTTTTTCAAACCTGCTTCGATATAGACTTGCACGTGGCTGGCCCAGTGGGGCCAACGGCTGGGAGTTGATTAATCGTTCACCATGTATTATGTTGATGCAGTGATGAATGATTCTTTTAATCAAAGCATTTTTTTTTAAAAAAAGCTTTCTTTTACATATTAATTTCTTGGAGCAGGAATAACTTGTTTGCTGGTTTTATCCACTACTATTTGAAACATTTCAATATTTTTTAAAATAAATCCTAAAATAACTGTGCCATAAATTATTTTCTTGAATTAATGTCCAACTATCAATAGTATATTTATATGCTTTGTACACAAACTTTCCAAAAAGGGTTCTCCAGTACCAATTTATTATACTTTTTAAGGACTGAGGCTTGAAGATAACCCCATGGCTTAGTGAAGGGGAGAAAATCTACATGACATTGTGCTCTTTGTTTCCATCGCTTTTTTTGGTATAAGATATGCCAAGTTGCCTTGTTGCACAATAAATTTGAGCCATGTTGAAAACTGATATTTTGACATTATTCCATATTTCATTTCTATTAGGTTCAAGAAATGCAGCTCATCTGTGCTGCTGACAAGCTTTTCCTTGTTTGTAATGCTTTTTGAAAGGTACCAGTTGATTGACTCTTTTGGCAGTAACTTGTCTGTGGATAAGGTTCTTGTGGTTTCAAACCTGAGAGATACGCTTGTTTAATCATTGGCTGATAAAACTACCAATGTACAAACCACAGACAAACTCTCTAAGCGGCAAGTAACACTGGGAGACATTGACCATATAACTGGGAAGCAGAGGTTCTTAAGACCAGCCCCGATTCCTCCCAATCACTACAATTTGTCATTTCAGGCAGTACAAAGTGATAATTATGCTAGAATAAATATATCTTAAAAATTGCTATAATTATAAAACTCACATCTGCTCTTTAAAGTCACGTATTAACCTCTAAATTAATATAGCAATGGAAGCGCATTCAAAGATTAGTGTTGTACGTTTATGTTAAAGTGTAAAAATTCACAGGGAAGAGGAAAATCTCAATGTAACACAGAAAACTATTTGAAGGGGAAAGAAATAATGAAATGATGCACAAATGAAAAGTGCAAATTTAATAAAGAAAATCAAAGTGTATGGAAACCCAACAAAATTAGCATTTTCATTTTGTTCTTGATCTTCACTTCTTACTGGTAACTGACCAATTTAGTCATAAAATTCTGTTATAGGAAATAATCTTGGCACTTGTTTCTACACAAAGTATCTTTCTTTAATATAAAAAGGGGAGTCTTGCTTGGCTCATGTTCACCAGTTGCTTAGCTGAAGAAGTCTCCATTGGATGATGTGAATGACGAGTGCAGATCTACAACTATTTACATTATTGGCAAGTGCTGCACAAAAGAATTCAAATACTAGGTCTCAGCAGTATTTTAACAAAATGTGTCAGATGAAACCTGCAGTCTTTTGGGATGTGTTGATGCCAGCACATTTTAAATGTTCTCTCCATTTCCTCACAGAGATAACTGCAAATTAATGTGACATACTCTCAATTTCACTGTAAACCACGCCAGTTTCACTTGCAAAATCCAAATAAGCACTGTTGAAATCAATCTGCGTTTTACATTTCTCCTCACACAATGGATTAAAAAGTACATTGGATGCTGAAGTCTCAGATCCACAGAAAATCATAAATTGGGGCCAGACAGAATGATGATTTTGTATTTCAATGGCCAAAAATGTCTGCAAAACTAAAACAAATTGGGTTTCGAAAGCCGCCGTGACAGCTAAAATTGAACAAAATAATTCTGTTGCTTTGTTTTAAAAGTAACATTGTGCAGATTCAGCAGAAGGTCAGAGAAACCATTCAGCAGAAGTTAAAGAGATGTTTTGTATCTGCCTGCATACTTTAAGGAATGACTCAAATGAACGGTACATAATGCATTTGATTGAGTGATGAAATGCTACTAGTTTTCCCCTTTTTAAGCTGCTCATGACACATGGAACAATTTGCCTGATAATTCCACTTTGTAAAATATCTGAATATTAGCCTGAAATGGTGCACATGTAATAACATGACATACAATTGTTCATCAGTTTCTTACAATGTACTCAGTGCAGTCTCTCTGGAGTGCAGAAGGTATAACATTTTGCCATTATTTTTAAACTCGCATGCAAATCTGATCTATGTGCTGAATTCTCTTGGGTGATTGATTTCATCTATAAACTGAGTAGCACTCCTTCATTTCTGAGCAATGCGTTTTATAGTAGTGAATGTAATCAGAGACAAAGTGAAACATTTAAGAGTCACAGTAAAATACAGTCTTTTAAAAATTAGATTTGAATACATCCAAAATCGTTAAGGCAGACTCCACGCAACCATCGAAATTTGACCGTGTAAAGCCGTCACCACCACACACGAGAAGAGGCTGAATGTGAAGAGTCATGTAGCCTGGGCAGTTCAAGACTCCATGGGTAACCTGCGAAAGGGAGTCGGAAATATTAAAATCCTACATACATTGGACATACAGCATGAATAACATACAGTTGTCCCAATTTAACTCGGGTTTCACAACAGTTTATAACACAACATTGATCTCATTTGATTTTCCTCTCGAGGAGTGCCTTTGCTATCTTTCTTTCTAGCTGAAACTAGCAAATTGTCATTTGCAAAATGTCAGCACTGTGAAGGTCAACCCCTGTTGTGATGCAAAGTTGTATCTACAAACTTAAGGGTTTTCTGCAGGGACAATCCTCATTCCCTTAATTCATTTAAAAGTGGGTGAGTGGGGCCAAACCTCACTCGCCAATATATTTTTAAAAAAAGCAAGAGAAGGCCAGACACTTTTCAACAAGAAAGGATAATCAGTGGGCCACTCTTGTACCTTTTCTAATGTCCTAGCAGCATAGCACCTACCAAATCACTGGTTTAAGCTATAGTGCATGAGTTGTAGCAGACAAGAAAACAGAAAAATAATACTAAAGATGGAAAAAAGTTAAATAATTCATGCTGCTGAACAGAATAAAAGATGTGCTTTTGGCATTGCGTCTTGTCGGAAAACAAAATCTTGCTCTAAAGAACTAAACACCATTAATTTGTGTCAATATATTGGAACAGTAGACAGCTATAAGTGCTGATAGCCCTACAGTAATATTGATATTAAGATATGTTAAAGGGCTTTTAATGTTTGGCATGCACACCATTCATCCGATGAAGAAACTGACAAACATTGATCCAAAGGTTTTCATCAATAATAATTACACCATTTGAAGCTCTGCAAGAGACTAACTAGCTGGACTTCTCACAAAACCCATATAAAGTGGGGTTAACATAGTTCTGAGCAGGATTATCACATAATCAGTCACTAAGGAATGTTCTGCTTCAACACACAACAGTCAGCAGTAGCACTTCCACATGCTCTTGTGCAGCTGGTATAGTTACACCCCATTTCAGGCAAGCTGACGGTACGTTAGCACATGTGGGATTGTTCTGCATGTCCTGGAAGAAAGACTCATGGGGAATGTATCACATGTAAAACTATAATTTCTATGCAGATATTAAAGAAACATTAGATTTTCAATTCAAATTCAATTCTGCAAAATAGAATAAAGCCTAGCTTTCCACGAAGTTGCCTTTTACAGCGATGCAAAGTGGGGGAGGTATCCATTCTTGCTTTCCATCCAAAATCATAATAATATAATATTGCAGCTTGCAGGGTGGCCCTATGGCAGAGCTGATCTGTACGCAGGAGTCCTAAGGAGGAGGAAAGCCTCTCTGTGTCTCTCCAAGAGGGAAGCACCTACTCTTGCTCAGTTGTCAAAATATGCTGACCTGCTTCTAAATTTAAGGACTGTGTTAGTAACAAAGGCAAAATCTATGTACCTGAAGTTTGTTAGGCAGCATGATTAAAAATTCAAATGAATAGAGACATAAGGTTAAAATCGAGTAGTCTTGCAATTAAATATTCAAGTATTCAACTTCAGAAAAGCTTTATTTAGATCAACATTCAGCTATGTTCAAATCTGAAAACATTCCAATTGTCCAACTAAATAAACTTGAGCATTTCATTCTGTGGGATTCATCCAGTGTGTATGCCAGATATTATACATCCCGTACCATTCTGGCGTTATTGTGTGATTGTTAAAATCTTTTGAAATATTTCAGTTAAAACAAGATAAAGGATTATTTCAATGTTTTCTTTAAAAACACCATCTTTGGTATTTGAAGGCTACATTTGTAACCCAAAATGGAAAATTTGCTATGGTCGAGCAGAGGGGTTACCTGAGAGTGTCTCCACTTTTGACAATTAGTGCTGGTAGACTGGGGTAATCCTGGCAGAAGTTGCTGAAGTTGTTCAAGGATCAGAGGCTCCACCACCTTCCTATCTTTATTGATATGTTCAGCTCCAAATTGAACACTGGTGTGGACAACTATGGAGGATCCAATTTGGGGAGATTCTATTCAAATGAACCAGAAAAAATAATGAGATATAAATTCTATTAGTCTTTCTTGATGGACAAATATACAGTACTACACTCCAAACACAGTCATGGATTGGACAAGAAACTTGACCTCTGGTTAATTTCATAACCCACAATCAAACCAGCTAGTTTTCAGATCTTAAATCTTATATTTATGTTATTATGCCATGGATTAGAATATCAGTAGGATAGCTAAAATCGTATTTTGAATAAGCAATTCATAAAAATTGTAAGAGTTGTTGCAATAACATTATCTTTAATCTATCCATGTTGTAGATCTGACTGAGTGTTATGGTTTCCATGTGAATGTTTCCATAAAAACAATTCCTATTACATTCTATTAACTGTATTGTTACCTGACAAAGAGAAATAGATGGTGCTCTGACCTAAACTACGTTTTTTATTATCGATGGAGATGAAACGTATGCAGGGATTCTCGGAGATATACTTCGCTGCCCAGGGAACATCGAAGTGTGTGCCACACTCATAGAAAAGTCCCAAAGCAAAACGAGAGGAGTAACTTGCTGCTTCCAGTTGCTGTCTTTGAGTTTTGTTGATAACTGCAGAAAGAAAGATTATGGAAAAATTAAGGGTCTGAGCCTGAAATCAATTAGTGTTATTCAAAGGCAGCAAAACATGTGCAAGTCAATACTTATTTGACTAAATCACGTAACCATTACATCTGTGCATCATCAAATATTTACTAATGGGACCTGGGTTCAAATCCAGCTCAGACAGATGGGATGACGAGCTCATGGCTCTGATAGCTGTTAAGGGTCACAAATGAAATGAGCTTGAATCGTCTTGATTCAGTTCTCAAGGGATGGGAGTCCATAGTGCAAAACTGCTCTTGCAATTTACAATTGGTACTAAACGTGCATTTTAACCCCATCAAACCTTAATGCAATTAGAATAGTCGAGGAATGAGTACATTTGTGCACCACGAAAGTGGCTCTTAAGGTTGACAAAATTAAACTATTTTAAAGCAGCTATAAAAGCACAGCTAATTGATCATGAGATCATAAGAGGCTCTTGAATAATGGCCACCTGGACAAGGTAGTAGAATGCCCATGGATACAAACCCTATTGGAATGAAAAAAGAGCCAACTGCTGTAGAGGACAAGGGGAGAAAATTTTAAGGTACATTTCTAAATATTGCCCTCAGAATGTAAGCAGGAAATCCAGGTTTGCAGCCTGCTTGCTCTTTAACTGTTTGGATAATGTGTGCTTAACTTCCTTGCTTTTGGAACCATTTCTTATATGGGAATTTGTAACATGTCGGTTTACACCAGCATGGTGGGTCTACTTTTTTATGCCCTTTTTATAATTCAATGATTGAATAATATTAACACATTGAATTGATGGGGAAAAAAAGCAGCATTTTACATGGGTCACAAATTCTGTCTACTAAGGTACATATGCGCAGGTTTCTACTCTGCATTCAGCAAGTATGATTTTAATCTATGAGACATATTTCCATCTTAAGATATAGGAACAGGAGGAGACCATTCAGCCCTTCAAGCATGTTCCACCATTTAATTAGATCATGGATGATCTGTACTTCAACTAATCCTTTCAATTCCAATCTCCTGCTTTCTCCCTATATCCCTTAATACCTGACCTACCAATCAACCTCACCCTTGAAGGTGTGGATGGATCCAGCATCCATGGCCTTTTGAGGAAGAGAATTCCAGATTTCTACCATCCTTTGAGTGAAAAAATGCTTCCTGATTTCACTTTTAAATGACTCTTAAGATGTTCCTGTTTGACTGTGCCTTCAGTCATCTTTCCACCCCCAAATCCCTTGCCCCCCCCCCAGCTCGGGTGCAAACCCTCGCCTGCCCAGTGCCTTGGGAGATCCTCTTGACGTGAAAGACCCTATATAAATGCCATTTGTTGGTATATAAAACCTGTTTTCTGCACTCAACTACTGTATTGCTGGAAACAAATTGCATTAGGTCCAGCAACATTAGAAATGTTGGACTTCTACCAGTGCAGCTTAATTGTACCATTTGTACTCAACACTTTTAAAACAATACTGGATTTACACTGATATAAAAAGACTCTGGGATAAAAATGGACTAAGACTGTGAATTAACTCTCCACCAACTGTTCTGCGATTTCTGTGTTAAAAAGGGTAATCTTCTAGGCCAATGTGGATGCTCTGTAGAAGACCGAAAACATAGCATTCTTGATAGTGCAAGGAGGTTTTTGTCAGACACAAACTGATGTCTAAAATACATTTAAAAGTCTCATATATCTCTTTTGAATTTCATCAAGAAGCTACAAGTGAACATGTGAGGAGTTGGGTGGGCAGAAATGTTTAAAGTGATTGTGTAGAGGCCTTGTATGTAACTGATGTCATTCAAAAAATTTTGGATAACCATTTAGAAATCAGCCTCTAATATATGGTTGCTCTGCGGGTACTATTGAGAAGATTGAGTTGCCAAGAAAGCTTACTCTCTGTATTAGTGTCTACAGTATTAAAGCGCTCTGGGTCGCTACCCTACCTGAGGGTCGCTTTATAAATTGCAAGTTGTTGTATTCTATTGAGGTAGGTGATACAGCAGTAATTTTACAGTATTAATTTTTTTGTATAACTCAATAAAAATTAGTTATATTAGCAAACATTTTAATATATAAAAACAGATTATGGAATCTTTGAACTGACTGGAAGTTTTGAAACATAATTACTAATTTTTTTTCTTCTGTGACATTTGTAAGAATTTACATTTTAATTGTGAATTCGCTTATTTCCGTTTAGATATTGTAGTATCTAACTACAATATCGTTGCTATTACTTATTGCCTGCAATTGTTATTTCAATTCCTGGTCTCGTTATGAGACTATTTTAAATTCAGAAAGTGTTATATCGATGCTGGATCTTCGATACATCTTTAATAAACATTCATGTACGCTATAGCAATTGCTTCTGTAGTGCTAATAATTGCTAATACAATTCCACCCCCCACTCCCTCCCAACCCTTGTTCCCTTTTCTTTCCTCTTCCCAAAACACTGACTCATGCTGGGGTGCAGCTTTTTGGGCACCAACAACCTTCCGGTACTTTGCCCGAGGGAATATTCTTCATGTACAGTTCTAAGTGCTTCATGCACTTTTATCCTTGACTGGTCTCTGCACACATAAAATTAGAATTCATTTGGGAAAGAGTCAACAGACATGTGCTTTCACTCAGAGTCTTTCATGGTTCTGCATTAGACCCACTGCTGTAAAGCCAGGAGGATGAACTGTGGCAAGTTTATAAAAAAAAATCTAATGGGAATCCTGAATTGGGAGATTTGTCTACATTCTGTATTTTAGTACACCAGAGGGTATTTTGGCAATGAGGTGAAGCAGAATATTAAAACCTAGACAATACAACCCATTCTCATTCACTACTTGCATAATGCTGTTTGACTGTATTCATTAAAAACATAGTTTGCTAAAATTCAACCCACTCATTTCTCTAGATTTCAGAGGCCAGCTTGAGCGATAAAAAAACGGACGGACAACACACAACTCCTAAGGCTTTTTTATTACCATTATGATAGGATTCCATCAAAAGATAATTTGAACGTTCAATTCGTTATAGCGTGTTCATCTCCTTTCTCAGCCTCTGATACAAGTAATATTTTTATGCCTCCCTCACCGATAGACAACCGTTATCAATTACCTTCTTTACAAAGTGCTTTCCATGATAGTCTTTAACAGACTGCACATACGAAATCTATGAATGCAGTATGAATTGATCACTAAAACATGAAGTATTTAAGCTAAGCAGTTTTTAAACAATTATTGACTTGTAAGAACTACTTCTCTGGCTTTTTGCATTACATTTTAGAAACTGTAGTTTTTTTCCTGCAAGTTTCCCTGAATTGGGAACTACAACTCCCAGTCTACTATCCTGAGAATAACACTGTTGTTGATTTAATTCTGTTTGTTACTCTGAGTCTAACTTCTTGCTTCTTTCAGCTTCTTCTTCCATTAAATTGTCATGGGCAGGTTAAACCTTTGTGGTGTTATCAGCAGGCACGTTTGCAGTGGCTTGTCCAAAAGTGAATGCAGTTCAAATTTAAGATTTTCTACATATTATCTGGAGCCAGAAAATTGTGTGCGTATGTGTGTGGGAGTGCGCTTCAAGTCTCCTGAGGCTGTGTATGTAAGCTTGTTTTTTGGGGGGGAGGGGGAAAGATCTCTAAATCTGCATTTTGCTTCAGAGAGGACGATCTTAAACTCTTCTAAGGAGTATATGAATGGTTATTTCTACCTTTGACTTTAGGGTAACTAAGCATGTACACAGGGAATAATGGTCTAAACTGTGCTGAGGTCGGAAGGCTTTGCATTTCACAAAATGTTTCCTTCTAGTTTTCAATCTATTTTTAATTTCCTCAGAGCACTGGTATGGTATAAAGGAAAACTTGCTTCCAGAGACTGGAGAAAACGCCAGGACAGAACACAGATGGATGGGTCACTGATCACAGCTTCACAAAATGCAGCAAACAGATTTTATTGTGTTTTTCAATCAATTACTCAAGTCCAATGCTCTTTTTATACAGTGGAAATAATGACAAACTGCGTCCACTAATATTGTGATCTGGATCAGGAACCTGATTTATACTTACCTGCATCAGAGTTCATAGCATAAAGCACTTCTATGTGAAATATGAGCAAAAATCCTTTAGCAGCTTGCAGTTACTCATTGATTCATACGTGAGCAATGTTAGCATCAATCAAGAGACACCAAATCCTGGTTTTCTCTCCCCTAGTTTGCTTTACTGAGGTAATTGAAGCAATCTTCCCCCAACCAACTCAGCACAAACCAGGAACTGAAATAAGGCCTTCTGCTTATATAGTTCAGAACCACGTGAGGTATATTTACACACTGAGCCAAAGGAGGAGTGCAAAAATAAAAAGTTTCTATTTTGTAATTTTAACAAGTTCAAGATTTGGTAATTTAACCTTGAAATGAAGGAACTATAATTTTATATTGTTAAAACTATTCCTGGAATGCTATTAATACGTCAGGGTTTCAAGTAGTGCAATAATATATTGATTTGTTTATATTTATATAAAATAACCTGGATACCAGTTTACACTAATGGAGTATGATTGTGGAACTCAAAACTAATATTAACTGAAGAAGTTTCAGTCTGAGCTTTTTTATCTCATGACATTTGGCTCACGTGTGCAAAATCAACACTATATTTAACTGGCTGACACCCACAGAAACACTTTTGCAATGTGTTGCTAAAGAAGATAAGGTTAACATTTTCCAGTCCATTTAGTGCACTCAATCATTTCTGAACTGCTTTACTGTCCAAACACTAGGACAATTTTTTGAAAATCAAATTAATATGTTCTCTCAGGTCTTAGTACATTAGAGGTTATTCAGAAGTTACAATTCTGCAGAATATGCATATCCATATACTGAGAGCATAATGGAGATCTACAATAAAAATAACTCTTGCGTTTGATATAGCACTGTATCAGTGTCAAAATGTCTCAAAGGGCTTTACAGGATTTAATGGAAATTGTAGCAACTGTGAATTTGTAGGCAAATA